AGTGTGTGGGCGTCTTTCCAAAGAATTTGGGGACTGACCTACCTCCGCATTTTCTCTTTACACAGCTGGTTAGCCTTATCCCCTCGTTTGGAACGGCAGACATTTCAGAAATGCACACTCTACTGAAACATTTGACATTTCAGCTGTTGGAAAACCAGGTGAATGTCAAAATGTGGAAGGCTGAGGATCTGTTTATCATTCTGCAGCAGCCCTGTCAGTTCACAGCAGGATGCAGCCACCCTACAGAAGACAACAGACACTACTGGGCCGGTGCCACCTCAAGCATGTTATCTTCCAGGCTTCGTTTTATGTTGCAGGGGGTGGGGGGGGGGATGAGTCTTGTTAATTTTGCAGCTATGTGTAAATTTGTGCTGTAAAAATGTCAGATTGGCTTTACTTGCTATCCAAAATGAAAAATCTGACATGCTTCTATATTTCACAAGAGCTCACCCCTATGTGTGCAGCACACAGGTGCCAATTAACATCGACCATGTCACGCCAGTTCAAGACAAACTCAGATAATATATACTGTATATACAGTATACACTGCACAGGGCAGCTTGGACAGCTTTTTAATGAAATGATAAGAAGAAAAACTTAATATTCACAATTCCATTTCCGTTTCTAAAAAACTATGTCATGGATGACAAAATATGAATATTGATAAAAATTTTGCTCAGAAATAGCACTTAAGCATCTTTACAGTACAAGACTAAAAAAAGACTACATCTCAGCAAATACCGGGATTAAATACTTATATGTATTTAACATTGAATAAAGTGCCCTCATTTTGGAAGCCTTAAGCATATTCTGTCTTTGGCATGTGTCAGGTGTAAGAAACTGATGTACTGACTGATCTTTCACCACTGATAAGCTGATGTTTTAGTGATGTACATAGTGAAATTGTGTGCCCAGTTATTTTTAACCATGTGCAGAAGTTCTTCAAATACTTTCAGTTGAACAAAATTATTTTTTTTCCCCAAAAATATGCCTGACATAATGCGATTAAGCATAGCATGAACTTGTGTTTGGGTTTTCACATAAAGGCAACTTTAAATTTGGATGGCCGACAAGGACCAAAAATATAGGGCTTTTATAAACCAATACAGATAAGAATATCATTTCACCATTAAGGAAAAACCATGCAATGGATCATTACTATATTAGCTAAAAAATAGCAATTACAGAACAACAAAGCATGTCTCATTTAGGGCACTTTCTTTATAGCATTATTTTAATTAATCCAAAATGTCTATTTAGTATTGCATTGTTATTCCCATTAAGTGAAAAAACATGCTAGTGCTGACTAATTTTTCTGTATTAAACCTCTGAGATCTACTTTTCTGTAGTTACTTAAATGACATGTAGCAGGGTAATTGTGCCTTCATATGTAACAGTACAGTACTCACATATTTGCCAGATTTCCAATTATTCAACCAATTAGCAAGGGTCCCAGAAGCCTGTGATTTCAGTTTATACTCCCAGACAGGATTTCCTCATTTTGCAGCTGCAATTCTTTAATTAGACTCAAATCGATGAGCACTCTCATTTACTGAAAGAGAACCACATTTTTTTAAAAATTCTGATATGACATGTTTGTAAGAATATCTGTATTATACATTGTTCTATTTATTAACGAATCCACCTCTTGATGATTTAAAATACAATTTGGAGAAGAAGATAAAAAAGAGCCCAAAGTACCAGGTAAAGGCTTGATGCTGTGGTTCACATAGCTCTCATTCCAACCTGTTAGTAGGCATTTCTGACAAGGGCTTTCTGTAGTTTGATAATTGAACAAATAGGCCTACAGGATAAGTTTGCTGTGAAAATCACTTGGTTTGGGTTCCAGGAATGCAGTTATGTTGTATAACTGCACCTTATTTTACAACTGTAAATCACTGCCTGAAGGATGAAGCCCTTAATTTCCCTTTCACAGGATATGCTTGATTGGTAATGATAGTCCCAAAACCCTGCAAACAATGTCTTGGCAAACCACCGCAGCCCCTTCTCAGAACTGCTACTGGGAAGGTTTAAGAAAGGAACTCTTTCAGAAAGTTACTTAAGAATCCCTGGAAATTTTTTTTTTTCATTGGTCTCCCAAGAGCTACATGGGGGAAAAGAAAGATATCATGAGCTCATCATTGACTGACAAAAACAGACGCCACAGGAGTGTTTAGTGTTGGCTACAGTCTTTGCCTCTGTGCCATTTCAAGGAGTGGAAACAGAAGAAAAGGTTCTGGAAAACAGCTAAAGCATTGTGAGCAAAACCAAACACAGGTACGTGGCCAAGAAAACATTCGGTCAGTGAGGAAAGGTGACGCTAAGAGGGATTAACCATTCATACATACAGTGCCCTCCAAATTTCTTCATAGCCTTGTTGAAATAGTAACATCATGATTTACCGATTGAATAAATCTAAGCTAAAAACTAAAAACGCTATAATGTAATTGCATTGCACAGAGCAGTCATATAAGCAATATTTGGCATAAAAAGTACACACAAGGGCCACAGTTACTCACACCCATTTAGACTGTATTTTGTAAATCCTCAGGCAGGGGTTACACTGACCAGACACCTCCTTCAGTGTACCATGGGGTCTTGGCACTTCTGAAGGGGCATTTTTGAGCATTACTTTAACCAGAATTGCTTTAAATCCATTAGACTGATTTCTGTGTATAAATTGTCTTCTTGAGTTTGAACCATTAATCTTTGATTTGCTTGAGGTCTAGAGATTGAGATGGCCAGTGGAGAACATTTATTTTGTAAGGAATTAACCATTCCTCTGTCGATCTGTATGTTTTGGATCATTGGCATGCTGGAATGTGCATTTTCATCCAAGCTTGAGCTTCTTGGCAGATGAAACCAAGAGTTTGGCCAAGACATCCTGGTAGGTTGCAGGGTTCAAGATTTCCCATATCTTAACAAGGACTTCACAGATGCAAAAGAAGCCCACAACATAAAAAACACTGATATATTTCAGGGCAGGCAGTAATATTTTATATACATGAAGATGACTTTTTTCATTCCAGCTATTACCTCCCGAAACCGCTTGTTTCACAGTCCATGGTGGCAAGATACACTTGCATCCTCTTCCTAGTGGGGTGGCCAGTACCAACCATCCATTCTCTGACTGCTTCATCCTCCTCAGGGTCACAGGTGAACCAGGGCAGGATCCTATCCTGGCATGCAATGGGCACAAGGCAAGGTATGCCCTGGACAGGATGCCAGTCCATTGCAGAGCACACACAGACATGCACACACTCATGCCTAGGGCCAATTTTCTCAGAAGCCAATTAACCTCCCAGTATATCTAGATAGAAAAAAGAATCTCTTTAGACTTTGGGAGGAAACTGACACAAACATGGGGAGAATAAACTCCACACAGATAGCACCCCAGGTCTGGTTTTGAACCTAGGGCTTCAGTGCTGTGCAGTAGCAATGCTAACCATAGCAGTACTGTGTTGCATGCCACTATACAAGTAGCCTGAAAAATTCTTAATTATGGACACTACGGAGAAAAGGGGTACTCAGCTTTTTTGAAGATTCTTTAATAGGCACTCCCCAACTTGTGGAGATCAATGATCAGTCTTGCCTGCAGTCTTCAGAGATCCCTTCGACCTCAAGCATGTCATATAGTGTTAGAAAATGGCTTCTGTGCTACACCTCCCTCAAATACCCCAGAGAAACCGGAAGCTTTTCTCAATTTGTTTTTGTTGGATTTTACTTAAATATTTTTAGGGGTGAATAAATGAGACCCTTGTGCTTTCTGGAATTAAGACAAATATGATTTTACTCTGTGCAAAGAATTAGAATTTTCTCAAGCAAGATAATCCAATCCATAACATATTTGCATTCCTATTTTATCAGGGTAGTAATCAATCTAGAGGGAACTGAATGTATGTAACATATGTACATATTTCAAGAGCGTATGCATATGTAAACACATACTGTTTATTCCTATATACAGGGCTGGCCACCTTGAGTAATGAGATCAGAAAGGTGCCTTACCCAAGAGAAGATAAAATGGACAAAAATCCTAGGTAAAGGTTAGGAATACTTCATCTTAAATAATTTGTTTTACACAGCAACTGAAAGGACTGGCTGAAAGTACAGTGGAATGCAAAAAAAAATCTTTGGAGGCAGAAGTGCTTAGTTGAGTTTTCTTGCCCACACAAACCATACAATTTCAGCTTGATGCCTTTTGGATCCTCAAAGAGAAGACGCAGCACACAGCTCAGGCCCCAGTAGTGGTAGCAGGGGCAAATATTAGTTCAACCAGGACAGCATTTTGCCTAATGCCAGGCCTGGTCAGCATATACACAGTATACTGTGAACACAAAGCATCCTTATGTATATAAAATGATTAACATTTTCTGTGCAGAATCTTAGATGCAATTAAACCCACCAATATGGCACACAGATATCGAGCCCTTGGAACTCCCCAAGTGCTAGAAACACAAGTCAGATCAAATTTTAATAACGGGAACTCTTTTGCATGTTCAGCCCTTTATAACCAGGCTTCTGAACAATGGGAGCAATACACACCAAAGTGTGTGTCATGACGCGCACTGCACTTAAGGCAGCAATTCGTGGGTAATGCTTTGCTTTTAGTGCCCCGATATTAAAAATGAATGCACGTTTCGGACAAAGAAAATCTCAGAGCAGCGAAGAAATGAGTAACTAAGGAATGTATTTATTGGTAGGCGTTTTATATATTTGTATTAATCTATTTTAAAAAAAAAATATTTGCTTTTGATTTGTCATCTAAAGAAAAAACAATCTGGTAGATTCAGGAAAAACGTCAGACGCCAAGAGGTGGATACAAATTAATACCGTATAGCTGTCAGTGTCTTGCCTTTAGACTAAAAAGAAGCACCAGCAGGTCTTTACAGTAAAAGTAAAAAATGCAAACTACCATCGCTCATTAATTTCCACCAGTCACATGGAATTCTTATTTTTTTAAATGCAGTTTTTGGTTAGGAATAACACTGACACAACTGTACAAGAAAAAGATAAACATTTTCTACTTTATTACTTACAGAAAGATTTCCAGAATGTACAAACACCACATTGTTTATTCCAGGGCAGGTTCTGTCTTGCAGACATCCATTATTATTATTTTATTTATTGTTTCTTTTTCTTCTCCTCATTCTTTCATTATATACAGTGGAAGACAGGGTTAAGAAGTGTTAGTATTTCTTCTTTGCTTGTGTGATGGATGGATTCAGGTTGCTGATACTTGTAAGTACCATGTACAGTAAATTCAGCTGGAGTTTTGTTAACGCAACCTAGCAAGTTATCAAGAAATACAAAAACACATACTTCTGGTGAGAAATGTCTTGACTCATTATCATCAGGATTAGGGCTGTAATTTTACATTTGATTGACTACATGTTTAAACCCAACTTCAGTTCAGTCATTTACCTTTTAAAAAGATTGGTAATTAACTAAATAAAAGTATTTAAAACAAAATGAAGTGATATTTTCACCTTCCTTTGCTATTTGATATTTGTATTTACAGATGCACAATGTAGGTCAGAAAGACACTATGCAAAATATTTCTAAAATTTCTTCACTAACTTGTATAATTTTGAGGCTGTGCACACCAAGTGCAATTAAAAAAAATAGAACTCTTATATATGCAAAAATGCTGTTTCTAACTGGTCTTTTTGTACTTATGGCTGCATAATGCTTTTTGGAAACATTGTTTCAAAACAGATTTAGTGAAGAGAAAGTGGAGTGACCCATTTCAGGGCTGCCAGCACAGATTAGAAGGAGAAAGCCAAATTATTTTCAAAACAAGCCTTGCAAATAGTACCTAGGAGTACGACACAGAGGAGGTGCTGAGGAATACAGATGGACACCACAACTCAACATGCATTACAAAACAATTTTTAGATGCATAACTAATGCAAACAGAGGTTATAAATAAGTCATCAGGTCTCTGCTGTGGACTCTTGCAACACAGAATTCTGAAACAGAAGTAAAATGTCATCCTGGCCTGAGTCCCAAGCACTAATCCTTCCCCTAAGCGCTGTGGATATTTCAATCACAGATGATTCAGCATTGCATCCCCACAGTCCTGAGCATCACTCCATAAACTGACCCATTAATACATGATCTGGGCTTCCAAATATTATTGTCATTGTGAGAAATATACATTTCACATTTATTGCAGATTAAGCAAACCCTTTACATAAATCAATGAATTAACAGGCTCTGAATACCACTCATCTTGGACTACCTAATTTTCATTTAGGTAAACAAGTCAAAGGCTTTGCTAGTCATGGTCTGTATAACTATCACTAGCATTAAACCATTTTCCACATTGATTCTTTAAGAAGAGACTGTAGAAGACAACAGACCAGGAGAAACAGCAAGACTTTACCAACTGTGAAAACAAATGGGTTTAAATATATAATACATTTTTAATGCAAATACTTCAGCTGTTTGTCATTAAAACATTTGTACCATTACAGCCCCAATCAGGTTCATTTTATAATTAACCATATCAGTAAATAGGAATATACAAAGAGGCCCCACAAGCCATTCATTTAGATTATACAATGTATTTACTACCATTTTAAACCGAGAATAGTACCATAACCTATTCTTACCATACTAAATTTAAGCAAAATTTCCTGTTTAGAACAGAACATGAAATACCTCGGACACATCGCTAAAAGATGTGTAGCAAAGTTATATTTCCAAAAAAAAAGATAACCAATATAAACCATGAAATGTTAAATATTTAACTCCTTGACAAACATTAATGACATTTCTATATTCAATAATTTACACTGATGATTTGTAATTGTTTTCAGCAGCAAATGAAAAACAGTCTTTTTTTGTATTGCAGTATACTTGATCGCATAGTGATCTGGTGTTAGGTATACAGCAGACATTTTCTGAAAAAAAAAACAACCTAAAACAATCATAAAAATTAAATTAAAAAAAATCCTCAACGGAACAAGGTGGAAATAAGAGCAAATGGGTTTTTTAGGTGTCACAGTGCTGTTTTGTTTGGCAAAAATGTGTTGTGCAGTTCAGTCAACTAAGTCCTGAGGTTAAACTAGGTAAACAAGGTAACCCAAATGCATTGTACCATCAACTGAAAGAAGTGTATGAGGTCCTAGATATGGCAGAGAAGAAAATCCACAGCCTGGGGAGCCGTCACTTGCTTTTGGTGGGCAGTCTGAAGTCCTCACTCTGAAATTGAAAAGCGACATACATTAGTATAGCATCACAACTAAGGCTGGTACAAAGCAGTGAAAGATAAAAGTGACTGTTTTGATACTAAACAAACCTTAAGACTAAACTTTTAAAATCCCAAATATTAACTTTTGAATAAAAAAAATAAATACATCTTGATGCTCCCAGTTAAAGCTGTCAAAGGCACATTTGAAAACACCAAAATTGGGGACTGAATTAGAAGCTGTAGCTGCTGTAGCTGTTTAGCAGTACCCGAAATGCATGTTTTTACATTAAATATTTGGCTGAAGCTTTCTACAGTTCAATATATTCTCAAAGGTCTGGTAGACAGAGGTTATTTTTCCTATGGAACTGGACTTTCCAGTTGCAGTTAAGAGAATGTGAAAAGCTCTTCAGTGCTGCAGGAGGAACAGAATTTGCTTTGTGTGGGCCCCCGAGGTGAAAGGCAAGACTGTCCCACTAGCAAAGAGGGAAGCGGGTCCCTTTAGAACAGTTACTACTTTTACACCACAGGATCTAGAGCAAGTCAGTAACTGTACCTGCTGGATGTTATTTTGCATTAAAGCTACATGCAGCCACACACTACATCAATATGAAAAGGCAAGATCACATTAAAAAGATAATTACAAACATTATAAAAAAGCTGTGCTTATGTAGAGATGAGAAATACATGGTATAGTTAAAAATCTGTTTTTAGCCTCATTCAAAGATAAAACAATGATCAACTTAGCTTGAGAACATAAGTGCTCTAATATCACTTTGAGTTGTGTGGTATCCACATGTGCACAACACAGACAAGGGAAAAACTGTACTTTAAAGACTGCTTTATTTCCTAATGTAGTTCAGGAATATGAGACATTCAGATTTAAATTATCTAGTTTAAAATGCCAATTGAACATCTTGGCAAACAAACTGGCCCCCATTACCACAAAAAACTTTCTGAAATGTATAAGACGTCTTGTTACTTGCACTGCCACAACTGCTTGCTGGCTTATCAGATCAGTGATGGTGGAGATACAGTATTTGGGTGTTTGATGTTTTTACTTTCATAACTTAATTCTTATACCTTATCACAAATTCTTCATCTAGTGCATTAAACAAGATTTTTTGACCAACACATCATCTGAAGATGTGGAATAGCATAACTTGCATAACTAGGCTGCATCCTTTCCACATCTACCTATAACATTCTGGCTACAGAAAATCTCTTGAACCCTGCTCACTGCCACTGGAAACATTTGGAAGGATCCTAAGAGCTGTCGGACCCTTTAGATCACATATATTATATCTGAGTCTAAGTCTTTAAATGCATTACATTTTAAAACTACAACAAATTAACATTTTCTGGGGTTTAATGACACAAATAGTTATCAACTTACAGGAAGGTTTGGATTTTTTTAATGTTCATTATTTGTTTTTTAAAGGAAAAGGCTGAAATTCATTAATCTGCCCTTAATAAACTTCCTGTGCATTTCAGTTTAAAACTACACTGTCCGGGGAGCATCTAAACAGTTGCTGTGATTCTCTGACTCAATGCTTTCCCTTATTTTAACCACTTAATTGTCAAAGAAATGGTGCTGCAGAACAAAGGAGAAGGTTCTTTATTAGTCACTGAACAGCTATGCAGAGAGCAGAGTGAAGCAGCCAGACTACAAGAGAAGCCTGCCTTGTTTCTAATAAACAAGTGTCAGTGTTTCCCTAACAACCCATAAAACGGTATACAAGACAAGTGCTCTAATTTGAAGCTCTGTAGCTGTGGTAAGCTGAGGTAAGGATTATTAACACAGCTGACATCATTCTCTGGCAGACAGAGTCAAAGGGAAAACCTGTGTGCACTCCGTTTTCTACTTATCACAAGGATTAATGTGAATCCCTGATTATAAAACATATGATAGACTTCAAGGAAAATGTGTTGATGTAAGAAAAATGCACTGAAGAGGATTAGAAAATGAGAGAAGCACTCCGCAGCTCTCTATGTGGGTTGAGTTCACAGGTTTTGACACGAATGTTCAGGGACAGCAGTAAACAACCCTCCAGAAGTCAGTTTGCACATCTATGGAAATCTTAACTTGGCAGGATTAAAACAACTATTAATGGGTTCAGATAATGTCTACTACTAGATTGTACTGTGCTATATATTTTTTTTTTAATTTAATAGACATAATCCAACTGCTCATCCTGACATGTAGTAAAACTTTGTTGTTCCGCTCTAATCACTGCATTACATCAGTAATACATCTGTTATTCAGCAGGTTCACACCTATTGAATACTGTGGGCGATATTGAACTCCCACTCCATTTTTCAAATTAGGCTCAACTACTCCATTAAACATGGTACAATGTGTGCCATTAAATATCTTGGATAAATACTTGTTTTACAAGTTCACACTTAAAACTTACATTAACCTCAAACAAGAACAATTATGAGCAATGGAGGAAAAATTCTAATTTCTTACTACAATCCTTACCTTTCCAATGTTAAAACAACAAGACCATCTGGTCACTCTAGGCTAAAGTGGATAAAACATATAAAAATAGTCATTATAATAATGAATTCTCAATCTTTGAGAATTTCTCCAAGATTGCTATCACTGCAGCCCTTTGAAATATCCTGGAATAACAAATACAGCATCTACGTGGCAACTGCAAAGAATCTGACTGTTCCATTACTTTTGAAATCATTCATTCTGTAGCAAGTGACTCATATACTGCCCTCTCTTCCACTTACTTCCTAGGAGTCCTCTGTGTTTGCTCTTAAGGAATCTACACTGAAAACGATACTCATCAAGAGTGGTAATTGAATACAACTAAACACTAAAGGCTTGAGGTCTTGAATTTTAAAAAGGCAGGCTTATAATTTAATTAGGTAAGGAGCTGGTGAGAGCACCTTTTGTACATTAAATTGTGGAATAAAAAGGCTGATACACTTCCTGTGCATCATATTTTTTGTAATGCAAACAAATGCATCGTAACGGTGCGTGCCTAGTTTATCACTGTTGAGTGATGTTAGAAAATCCCTGAACTTCTACGTTATATGCCCAACTGCTAAGGTAGCAAGTATCAAGAAAAAAAGCTTCAAAACCATAATGCAGCTTTTAGGGTCCTGAATGGAAGAGGTGAGGAGAACGAGAAGAATGGTATGGCAGTACTGGAACTGTAACCATCAAACAGCTCGCGTGCGTTGAAAGGATAAATGCAACCAAAACTCAGGAGTGTATTCTCTTTCCGAGTGTCACTTTAGCCCTCCAAGTAAATATGCCTGCTTGAACAGAGATTACTCTTTTAGAAAACTGCCACCCCCCCTGTTATCCAACTCTGGACCTCCAGCATGTAATTCGAAGGATCAAAGCAGTCTGCTGAGAAACCCCCAGTGATTTATCACAACTAACACTTTTGCTCTCCTCGTGGGAAGTGATAAAATGAGGGCCCTGTCTGGACTTAGAGTTTGGCTGGAGCAGCCCCTGTATTCTTTCATGAGTCATTAGCTGAATGATCCGCAGTGTGTCGTGTCCTATCACCAAGGAATTCTGAACCAAAAAAAGGAGCTACACTATTTCTGCGCCCCTCTGGCTCTTTCTTGCAGGACTACATCTGTACTGCCTAAACTGAGAAATAGGCCAAAGTTAACAATAGCAGGCGAAAGTCACTGCCTTGCAGATTAAGCCGTGCAATTACACTCAAATAAGTTGGCATGTAAACTGTAATGTACCAACATCCTTGTGTTTCTTGACATACAAAACACAGTAGAACAGGATGTTCTTCCAGCTTAGGCTAAAGTACATATTTTGACTTGCATATAAAAAACCCACCTGTGCTTATGATTCTGATTCATGAAGTTTTTCCATCTGAGAGTACGAAGCTGTGATTGACAGAAAATGAGACTGGGCTTTCAGGGAGTGCAATCCCACTCTTCTTTTCACAAGTAGCTCTTTTAGTATCAGACTGGCTGCATGGCACACTGCCTCGACTGTAACAGTATAGGCCTACCTCTGTAACCTTTATTCCACATTCTTGTTAAAACAACTTGTCCGTTTTTGCAGAACTTATTTCCACACACCTTTTCTATCTCGCTCAACAACAAAACGCTGCCCTGGTTAAAAAGGAGAGTGCTTTCTGGCATCCCTCCAAGAGGTGAGTCTGAAGCACTCAAGACCAAATGGAGAGAAAGCATTCACTTCCTCAAGAGCTAGGGAATTTATATGGTAGCTCAAATGAATTCCACACGTTTTCAGAGCTACTGCTCATTTTAGGCACTGCAGCCTAAGACAAGGCTCTGCAGAGCAATGTAAACAGATTTTCAGATAGGTGCTGACAGTGACTGTGTAATGGTTTAGTAGTTCACGTTTCCACCTTAATCTTCATGCTACGAAACACATACTGCACATGGACACAGCCTGCGGCACAACCAGCTCCAGGCTGAAACAATACATCACCAAATGTTTTCCTTAACATACTTCAGTAATGTGGTTATGCTTTGGTGACTTGCTACTCCTTTGTACAAACTTGTATCAGCAGAATCTGCTATTCACAAGGCCATCATTAGAAGATGGAGCTTTTTCTGATGACACCCTCAAGGGATCCTTATATTTTGTGTTTTCAAAGAAAATAATATAAAAAGCATTTTCCAAACCCCTGTGATGATACAGAACACACCCTCTCAAAGTATGATTTATTCTAGACAGCCCTCATGGCAGTTAGTATGTATTTTAATTTACTGTTGTTTTTCTTTTTTGTTCTTCCATGTGTTGCGATATTAGTGTGGAATTTTCTATTTTTTGGCATAGCTATTGTATACGCAATCTAACAGGACCCCCTTGAAAAACAAGATTGTGCACATAAAAGGTTTTTACTCAGTCCATAAACTGAAGTATTACCAAGCTTTTTCTCACATGACAATACATTTGATAAAGCTGGTTTATTGTGTTTGGGAAAGATTTATTACTTGCAAAAGATATATTCTTCAGTATGGATCTGCCAAATGTTACATCACTCTAAAC